ACTAACACAAATGTAAAAACCATAATTGTTTTCAGGTCACCTAGCTATAAACACCACAGAGTCCATCAACTACTCTCTACCACTACTTGAACCCTTGACACCTTACATAACCCTAAAATGACCCTTTTGCTCATAAACGCACCCTTAAACAAGCTTTTACCACTTAACCTTTACCATAACCTAACTCTAAAATAAACATTTAAAACATACCCAGCCCCTCCTCAAAGCACCTAACTTAGCTTTTATCACATAGCCCTCAGTCTAACACTTACCTAATTCCAAAAGTGAGCCCATAAACTTGTCTTCCCCTCAAACACTTAATTAACCTCCTACTACTTAGTCATAACATTAACTATGAAAGGTAAACTTGAACCTCTTAATTCCTGTCCTAAATACTAACTTCACCTACCCACTAAACTAATCCCTAACAATGAGCAATTTATATTGTTCCTACAGGGATGTTCTCTTGCCTGAGTCCCCACAATGTGTGTTCCATAAGCACACATCACAAGGTTTGAAGTATTGAAAGCATTTTCCTTCCGTGAGCTTTTCAGAAAAAAGATCAGCAGTAAAAGAAAATAAAACTGCACCTGAATAGTCTAGAGAGTGAAATAGGACTTACCTGGGCACTGGACTGAGCAGCTGACCTTCTGCATTGAGGAACCAACACAGAAAGCTCCACCATTTAAAGGAGTTGGGTTGGTGCAAGTCCTAGAACGTTTCTGCACTCCACGACCACAGCTTACACTGCACGATGACCATTCTAACCAGGAAGACCAACCTCCATTCACTGGGAAAGAAAAACAAAAATGGCAGTTAATAAATTATATATATAATATATATTCTAATCAGAAATCTTACAAAAAAAGTAGTTTTGAGGCACCCAACTAAAATGATGAAATACAGGATATACATACACAATTAAATCTAACTAAGATTTAAGAAAAGAGAATCAGTCATAACTGAAATTATGCAAAAGTCTGAATAACCTGTTTTAGATTATTGTAACAGGGTTATTCACTAAGCTGCCGGCTATTGATTATGGCTCAGTATGGCTGATTTAAGCCGTACATTGGCTGAAATCAGCTGTACATCGGCTGCCTTCAGCTGCACTTCGGTCAGCCGAGCATGCTCTGCATGTTCGGTTGAGCCTAAGTGCAGAAGGACTTCGACTCAGCCAATCCAACATCTGGATCGGCTGAGCCGAAGCTCTGGCAGCTCACTCGCTGCTATTGGCCCCTATTATCATAGGAGCCGAACGGCAGTGAATGAATAGCCGAATGCCAGCGAGCGGCATTTGGCTCAGCTATTCTGCTCAGTACCTCTGTGGTGCCGAGCAGAATAGCAATTCAATTAAAAAAAGTTAAAAAAAAAACAAAGTTGAAAAAATATTTTTTTAAATGTACATAAATCTTAAATCTAAAAAAAAAGATAAAAAATGGGCAGAGCTAGCCCTGGCAGCTAGCTCCGCCCAACTGTTTCCTATCGACCAGCACCTGCTAGAGTCTTGTAAAAGGTCCTGGCCAATGAATAATAACTGGGCCAGTTGTCATTGTTTAATGACAGTTCAGTGTCCCCAGGTCATTTGGGGATGCTGATCTGTCATTACAACTGGGCGGAGGCAGTCATGAGATCACAGCTGGCTCCACCCAGCTGTCATTTGCGAGGCGTTCGACCGACCTTCGGCAAGCCGTTCGCCCCGCTTCGGCTGTCACTTTGCATATGCCTTCGGCTCGGCTGAGCCCGCTTGGCCGCCTTCTGGAGCTGTACGGGCTTTAGTGAACAGCCCGTACAGCAGCCCTTCCGTTCGCCTGAACCGAAAGGCTCCCACAACCGAAGGATCAGCCAAAGCTTCGGCTAATCCTTGGGCTAGCTTTGTAAATAACCCTCTAAGTGTTAGTTTAAAGTATTTTAAGTGTTAAATGAAATAATAATAATAATAATAACAACAATAATAATCATAATAACAAGAAAAAAAAGAATCATGATAATATTGTGTCAAATCATACAGTATGAAAACCGTGTGGTTCTTATTCCTCAAAATGTGGTCAAACATGGCTCTAATTCAGCACATGGGCTCCAAACATACCCATAGAATTATTTTATTGTTACTCCGCACAAGAAAAGCAAAAATTAAAGTAGTCTTTTTCTTTTAAGCAGTGCTATTTTATCTAGAGGATGCAATATCAGATACTTGAAAATACAATAAGCATATCAATCTAAACGGTAGAGCCGAGTTCTTGTTAAAATGTAGCTAACTTTACCTAAGGGCATTGGTTATAGGTATCTGCAACATCCTATATGCAATAAGGGGATATAACTGCAGTTTTAAATAAGAAATAATTCAGTACGTTGCTTCAGGACATTTACTTGTACCAATTCTTGAATTTCACATTTACATTTTCATTCCTGTGTGTACAATTTAAACAGTAAGAAAGAAGTCTTAAAAGACAAATAAATCTAAACTGATACTTGATTTTTAGAATCAACTATCAGAAAGGTTCACAAAATCTGATGAGTTTCATGTCTATAGGCCATAAAAACTGATTTTCTTTTGGAAGCATTATCCTCTTGCCATGCACAAACTCATGCTGGCAGTTCTTTGAATACAGCTTTGGAATTGCTGCTACTGGCTGGCTGCTGTAGCCATGGTAATGAGTTTGAGAATCACCTTTGCTGAGAGATTAACTTACACCACAAACTCTTGTCAATGGCTTTCACCTTCCATGGTATCTTTTAAATGAAGCATATGGGTTGTGTAGAGCAGCAAAGTCCCTCTTAGAGAATTAAATGGGGGTTATATAACAGCATCACCCTCATATATCACTAAAGGAAAGAAGGTTGAATGTGAAAAGGAATTGCCTGATTATGGGATCCTGTGGAAATGTTCTTGGTGTTTTCATCCTATTGAACACATCACAAGAGTATGTGCCTTCTAGAAAAAAGAACATGCACCCAATGAATGTATTCTTTCATGCAAAGTAAACACTGTTCAAATGTTCCAGTCCTTTATAGGCCCCAAAAACTAGGTGCTAAGCACAATGTCTACAAATGCCTGATTGGAAATCAAGCCGTCTCAGTGGACAGCAGAGACCTCGGTAAGTTCCATGATTAATCTAGTGATGGATAAATTAGACCACTGTAACTTTATTTGGACCACCAGCTCTATAGCATATAGACATATGGAGTCAGGAAGATTTTGGGCACAAATAACAACTAGCTGATAAAATGGCTGAACACGGTGGGAATTTTGTATTTAAATGTAACATTTACTGAGTGGGATCAGATGGTTTCTTCTGGCTGCTACTTTTCATGCTGACATATTTCTTTTAAAGAGGATTTAACAGTTGAAGTTCGGACATCAATTTAGGAGCCATTGACACAGAAATCTGGCTAACTTTTATAAGCAGTGACTGGCTTACTTATGTGCATCTTATTTTTAATTCTACAGTGTTTGTTTCTAGCCTTTAGAGGCAGACCTATTGCCTCTATGGGCTGGATAACTGGTCTCCACAATGCCAACTTGTAGTTATCAATTTCATCAGCTCTACATGAATCAAAGAGTGTTCACCTGTCCTTGCCCAGCTTCACCCAATGCCTGTCCTTTAATCACTGTGAGGGGAATTTATCAAAACTGGAGCAGATAAAATCTGGAGCAGTTGTGCATGGCAACCATTTAGCTTCCCGCTTTCATTTTCAAATCTTAACTAAACAAACTGAAGAGATAAGCTGATTGGTTGCCATGGGCAACTGTTCCAGACTTTGCCTGCTCCAGTTTTAATAAATTCCACTCTTCATTTTTGCATTGTCAATGGCGGCACCAGTCCCTGTCCAGCTTCATCAACCACTGGCCCCCTTCTGTCTCTGCTCAGTTCAGTGTCCCCCTTCTCTGATGACATCACTGGCAGTAAAAATGTAATTTACTGTTTACCCACTTCTCTCCTCTACCTTGCCCAAACACTGTTATAAACGCTCCCTGCTTCCCCATATGCTAGAAGCAGCAAAATCCATCATCCCAAAACATTGGAACTCCTCAGTCCTTCCCTTGATCAAAGAGTGGTTTCCCCACTTGGATCACATCATACTGATGGAAGAACTAACACACTCCTTATACGACCGTTCCGCTAAATTTGAAGTGACATGGCAAAAGTGGCTCAGGTTTAAGGACACATTAGAATTCATGCAGATTGTATATTGAGACCTATAATAATAAAATTAAACAGAATTTAGAAATAGAACACTATATACCAGCACCACTATTATCCCCAGATATCCTCGCATGTAATGTTTCTATTATAACCCGGACTATTACTCTCCTCATGCTAGGAGGCTCGCATTTTCAGTCCACACTTTCTCCACTTGTAAACTTATGACCTTGTTGTGATACTGCAATATACCCCACCCCCACCCCTCTCCCCTCTCCTTCACCTCTCCCCCCATTCCCATCCTCCCTCTCCCACTTTTGTGGAATGTCTTTTGATGTGTTGTAATGTTTTCATTGCCTTTGTATATGAACCATGATCGAAAAACAGAAAACTTTAATAAAATTTGAATGATAAAAAAAAGGAAAAAAATACAAACCCTCTGTATCATTGGAAGAGCAGCATAGCCACCCTTAAATAGCATTTCAACCAAATCAGCCCAATTAAAGGTAGGATTATATTTTGAAGTCATGAACAAATAGGCAATGGAGTGTCTGGTAGAGAAGTGCATTCGGATTTGGAGGAACATGCTGAATCATAAAATTCCATTGATTCAGCGGTTCGTCCAAATCAGAAATAACAAATGATTATAAGCCTGAATGTGTGAAACATATATTCAGGCATACAGTAATTTGTTTTGTATGGGCACCGTCATCTTGCTGTGTCCAAGATGGCGGCACCCATACATGTGGATGACTTCACCCGACACTGGTGTCATGTGACGCCATGCTCCTCAGCTCCAAGATGGCAGCACACATGCGCAGAATGCACCAGGGGCCAATATGGCCATGAACGTTCTGTTTTTCAACAAAAAGTTTTTTTCCATTTCATTTGTTTAGTCCAAAACAAATTTCTATGCTGTGCACGTATTTAGTGTCTAGCAGGTTTAAAAGGGCACCAGCATGAACGGAACCAAATTTCATGCTTACATAGTTACCTAGTTACACAGTTTAATGATTAGTCAGGTTGAAAAAAAACACAAGTCCATTGAGTTCAACCTATAGAGCTTACTAAAATGTTTGACTATGTATGAGAGTCAATGTTATTTTCTCTGTGCCTTGTGCCACACCATAAAATGACCCTGGGATGCCACATCTATAGAAGCTGACCCTGCAGCCCTTAAGTTCTTCAAGTCTGCAGAAACCCACCCATTAGAAGAGCACAAAATCATAGCAAACGATTAGAAAATTAAAACAAAAAAAATAAACAAGAGCTGGCTGCATGTATGTACAATGTTCTGACTCATAGAGGCCCTAAAGAACAATCTGTTTATAAGCTAGACTTTAACTCCCAATAAAACAAGCAGTTGCCTCATGCTGTCTCTTCTAGAGCAGTAATTTAAAGCAATATCCTTCCCTGTGCGTTAAAGGGTCAGTTTCAGCATTGAGATTCTTTCACTCCCTAATTTCCTTGACAGCTCTTTTCCACACGACTATCCTGACATTTCTGTTACAAGAAACACATATTTCAGCTACAATCAATAGTTGCAGCCAGTGAACTTTTCATTTGGTCCTTGATGGCTGTTGGCTTACAGCACAGTGAACTCTGACTGACAGCCCTGACCTGCTGGGAATTCCGAGGTTAGCAC